ATTGATCTTCAACTGATCGCTGATATCCGATCGTTAGACTGAAGGTACATTATGTTTCTTTGTGGTCGGGAAAACGGTCGTGTAGACTTGCGTCAACGGAAATGATCCGTGTTTGTTTTGGGGGTGCTTGAAGTGGTTAAACGGGTAACGAATCAAGAATAACTTGTTTACCATAACCCCTGGGGCAACTCAATACCTGCAGCGCGTCTGAAATAAGTATCGATAGCGGTGATAAGCAGTGAAAGCAAAATTGACACACTGGGACATTCTCTGAAGTGACCCCCCGTTGAGTGTCAGATTTTGTCCCTTGTGCAAATCATTGTAGATAGAACCGACGTACCGGACCACTGGGTAGTCTTTGGTTACATCCCAGGAGGTTGTAGATTAGTAGCGTCATAACACAACGTTGTCACAACGTTAGTATTACGTCATTGTATAACATTATGTCACAACATTACGGCAACCTTACATACGTTGTCAAAACGTTGTGTACCGACTATTATACAACAACTTGGTGTCACGAGTTTTTTGTAAAAGAAAATCACTTTGAGATTTTTTCTTCACTATTCAACTGCAAAAAAACACACGACCAAAACAACATGCAAATTCACGAATAAACATTTAAGTGAATTTCTGCTTCGTTTCTTATGTACTGTTCACTACTGGGAAAGCTATTCAACATTTTTAACGTTAAATAGAACGTTAAGACAACGTAAAATATGTTAGCATCAAATAACGTAACCTTGTGGCGACGTAAAAATGACGCATCACAACGTCAGGCCACAACGTTGTGACAACGTATATAGAAGTCCACAGAATAACGTTGTCACAACGAAAACGTGTCAGCTGGGAACGTTAAGACAACGTAAACTATGTTAGCATCAAATAACGTAACCTTGTGGCACGTAAAAATGACGCATCACAACGTCAGGCCATTGTAAGGTCTCTGCTGATATTGAAGGTCTCTGCTTGATCCAGAGACGTATGATATTGTAAGGTCTCTGCTTGATCCACAGAATGTTATGACGTTTGTTGATCCATGAGACACTTTGCTTGATCCAGAGAAAATATATTGTAAGGTCTCTTGCTGTAACAACGAAAACATACCATGTCAATATTGTAAGGTGTCTGCTTGCTTGATCCATGACTAAAATGATACATAAGAAGTCTACTTGACCCATGTCAGATATTGTAAGGTCTCCATGTCATGATATATGTAAGGTCTCTGCTTGACCCATAGACCATGTCATGATATTGTAAGGTCTCTGCTTGATCCAGAGACCATGTCATGATATTGTAAGGTCTCTGCTTGACCCAGATACCATGTCATGATATAGTAAGGTCTCTGCTTGATCCATAGACCATGTTATGATATTGTAAGGTCTCTGCTTGACCCAGAGACCATGTCATGATATTGTACGGTCTCTGCTTGACCCAGAGACCATGTCATGATATTGTAAGGTCTCTGCTTGACCCATAGACCATGTCATGATATTGTAAGGTCTCTGCTTGATCCAGGGACCATGTTATGATATTAAATTACATTTGTGACGTCATTCCATTGTCTTCTCGCTCCAATAGTAAGGCATTATCATTCAGGAATGGAGCGATGTGTACCAATTTCGAATTTAAGACTTCATTTTGTCATTTTGACATTTAAGTTTGATAACAGAAATATTACCAATACTTTGAATGTAATTTAAGTAGGGTAATATCCTCGTAACTCTCCATTCCTTAAAAATAATGGGCCTCGGTTACTCGGACATTACCCTCAACTTCAACGGTCTTGTGCTTTACAAAAGAATAAGAATAATATGATCAGCTAACTGTCGTGAAATCTGCTCTAGGGGTTTACCTTGATCGTACATATTACCGCCACTGCGCGTGAACTATGTGATTTCAAGTCACTAGTCCAAGATGCCCGTGCAACACGTGCACAGGTGAACATATATCTGCAAGGCCGGTTGATTGACATATTTGGTGTTCATTTCATGAGCTCATCAGTTTATGGCGGTTGCCATGGCAGCAGTCAACCACTGTCGAGGGTGTACGATCGCTGTATACAATGGCTCACAGTATGTAATACGCGAGGTCTCTGGTAAATAAATGAGCTATCATATGTGATGAAGACAGTGCATTACTGTGACGTCGTGATAAGTGAGTGTTACGTCACTGAGCTGTCACGTGCTGTTGGTTGACGTACAGGCAGCTTATATAATATACGTTACAGCTTTCCAGATAACAGACAACGATTCATATGTCACGTTGTTGACAGTGAGTGAGTGAAGGAGGGAGGGAGGGAGGGTCTGTAAGAAATCGAATCAGGACCAGACAACCCAGGGATTGACATCATGAACATTGTTCCACGTAAAGTGGGATACGATGACGTGTCAACCAAGTCAGGAAGTCTGACCATCAGATCCCGTTAGTCGCATCTTACGACAAGCATAGGAAGTATAACGGTTGGTCTCTGAGTGAGTGAGTGAGTGAGTGAGTGGGTGGGTGAGTTGAGTTTTACGCCGCTTTTAGCAATATTCCAGCAATATCTCGGCGGGGACACCAGAAATGGGCTTCACACATTGTACCCATGTGGGGAATCGAACCCGGGTCTTTGGCGTGACGAGCCAACGCTTAAACCACTAGGCTAAACCCACCCCCCAGCTTGGTCTCTGAATATATGTCATTATGATTGAAAGAAATAATTTCATTCAAACTGAAAATGAGTCCCGCTGAGTTGGCAGAGATTCCTGACCACTGGTCAAGATGTTGTTCCAGCCAGCCATGGCAGTTTGATATGTTTGCTCTGTAACCCGACGCCTGAAGTGAGTTACTTTTCTTGCAGTTGATAACAGACCCTGATCCTGAGGAAATCTAGACTTGCTTCATTTAGTCTGGGTGGATGTGAAAATGATGCGGTGTGTACTGTGAGTCATGGGATGATAAGAACACATTCTAACCCGGATCTTCGCTGGTAGAGTTAATAAGTGTCAATACTTAACCGTTTACTACTTTTAGAAACGTAAACAAGAAGTCAAACTAATACAACATTGATTCATTGAGTCAATATATTTCTGTTTGAAAAGATGTATATATGTCTGTTTGTAGTCTGCCATACGGACCCTGAAACAGATATATTCAACAAAACCCATGCAAGTCTACAATATGTGTCAAACCTCGATTTCAACAGTTTCTTAAAATGAAGGTCTCTGGGCTCCTTTTCATTATCTGTTATGTTACACACTTTATTTCAGAGACTATATCCTTCCATGTCTGTTGATATGATATGATATGTGATATGATATGTTATAATCTGTTTGACTGACACTATATGAACTGTCTGTTCAAAAACATGTAAGCTAACGTACAAAATAAAGTTCACACCTGGTGCTTTTGGATTACTTTCCAAAGAGCGACGTAAATGTTTTGAAAAGAGTTTTTGCAGTGATATATAAGTCACATACTTTCCATACCACAGATATCGTGCCCAATTGCGAAGTTGCCAGTCAAAATCACAACACTTTTCAAATAATCCAAAAACAACAGGTGTGTACTTTCTTTTGTACGTCGGTGTATCTGTTTGATTTTATACCTGTCTGTAACCTCTCATATCTGTCTGTGCATATATCTAAATTGAATCAATAAAAAAGGAACAAGAATTCCTTGGTGTTATTTCAAGCCCACCAACAATGTATCATGTCACTGTATTATTATCACTAGTCTGAAGATCCGGGTTAGAATTGATCTTCAGTAATCCATGCTTGTCGAAAGAGGCGACTAATAGGATCGGGTGGTCAGGTTCTCTGACATGGTTGAAACATGTCATCGTATCCCAATTGCGTAAATCGATGTTCATGTTGTTGATCACTGGATTGTCTGGTTCGACTCGTGAAGGTCAGGGCTAGAATTGATCTTCAGCAGCTCATACCTGCCATAAGAGGCGACTAAAGGGATCGGGTGGTTAGGCCCGCTGACTTGGTTGACACGTCATCGTATCCCAATTGCGTAAATCGATGTTCATGTTGTCGATCACTGGATTGTCTGGTGTTTGATCACTGGATTGTCTGGTGTTTGATCACTGGATTGTCTGGTTCGACTCGTGAAGATCAGGGCTATAACTGATCTTCAGCAACCCATGCCTGCCATAAGAGGCGACTAATAGGATCGGGTGGTCAGGCTCGTTGACTAATGTCATCGTATCCCAATTGCGTAAATCGACGCTCATGCTGTTGACCACTTAATTGTCTGGTCCAGACTCGATTCTTTACAGACCGCCGCAATATAGCTGGAATATTGCTCAGTGTGGCGTTAAACAACAAACAAACAAAACCAACTAGAAGTAGATACAGTTCATATCACAGACCTGTCAACCTTGAATCAACAAATCATTATGTTAAACTAATATATACGCCATGTAATCATATATTATCCAACAATTGTGTCCTTGTTCCGAGTCCGTTAAAATCACGAGTCCCAGTCCGACTTTTGACGTTATATAGTTCACCACTTTCCATGCATGTCAGATTGTAGCTGTTTCTTTACAATACAACGTATGTGTTGTGAGCACAAGAACAGTCTGTCAAAACCCGGCGAGTATTGAGATAGGGCACACAGAGCACTGATACTGCCGGATATATCCGTCGCCATGATGGGTAATTACAAAATCATCGGAGGAAATGAAACGGCTGAAAACAGACCTCCACTGTGTTGGCATGTCGATTATTATCAAAGCAGGTATTTTTTCAGGGTTGTTTAGATCGTCAATGATTCATGAAACTATAAATGAACGTGTGTTAAATGGGAAAAAATTAGGTTACATTTGAATGAATGGTTTGCATCCGGATTCTGGAGCAGTAATATTCCTGTTGTTGCCATGGATACCTGATCATTTATTTTTTGTCATCAGTTTTATTTATATACAGATAGGGAGTACAGATTGTCCCGTTAGAAACGTCCTCTTGTAGAGTGCATTTTCAGCTGGCTATACAAATCATAAAAATGTGAGCAATATCACGGCGGGGGACACCAGAAATGGGCTTCACACATTGTACGAAGGTGGTGCATCGAACCCGGGGCCTAGGGGTGATGAGCCTCACCCTGACTGCGCTACACCACTGCACTGCTTATTCATAGGCAATTTCACCCAACAATCATTTGATGTTATTTCTGGGCGGTGGGGTAGTCTAGTGGTTAAAGCGTTGGCTCGTCACGCCGAAGACCCGGGTTCGAAACCCCACATGGGTACAATGAGTGAAGCCCATTTCTGGTGTCCCCCGCCGTGATATTGCTGGAATATTGCCAAAAGCGGCGTAAAACCAAACTCAGTCAGTGATGTTATTTCTATCGGCGAGTGAGTGGGTGTGGTTTTATGTCGCTTTTAGGAATATCCCAGCAAAATCACGGCGGGGACACCAGAAATAGGCTTCACACATTGAGCCAATGAAGGGAATCGAACCCGGGCCTTCGGTGTGACGAGCGAACGCGTTAACCACTATGCTACCCCACCGACCTGTTCAGCTTTGGAAGCCTTAGTGACCCAAATTATAGTGACGACATTGAATTGTACATAGCGTCATGTGCACTGATGACGTCACGGTGTCAGCAAGACATGCTTCGTTGCCAGACATCTGAGATATAGAATTCTACTTAGATAACACAAAACACATCAAGTCGCCAGAAAGCACAAAGTGGAATAATGACTCTGACACATCAAAGGTAGAACTCTGTAAGAACAAGGCTTTGGAGACGAAGGGCTTATTTACTACTGAAATGAATACAGGTCTTGAGAGAGTCCCTTTCATCCTAAACACGGCAAACACACGTGTTTCATCCACAAAATACACAATAACACACGCAAAAACATACTCTCTCACACACATCAAAGACTCTCCTTCCTCCATAGATCATACATTTACACCGGAACAAGGGATAGATTTAGAAATATCATTCAGATACAACACTTGCTTCGAGATTATTCGAAAATCCTGGTCTTAACCTCGAACACAAAACTCCCAAAATAATCTCGAACCCTTCTGAAATATCCTCGCATACCAACACCAGTAATTCTTCCATACAGAGTTCGGTATTGCTTCTGTTTAACATTCCAGTGTGATCCTTCCTCATCATATGAAGATGCTTAGGCGGATATGCCGGGATTATCCGATAATCCCTCTCATAAAGGCTGCGTCTTTCCGGGCCGACTTGCGGGGAATCTGCCGCCAACATGGACTGTGTACCTGTGTCAGTGATGGATGCGTCATAAGCTGACCCCTGAACCGCAGGGGTCAAAGGTCTGAGGTCGTGGGCCGAGCAATGAAAACATGGACTTCACTTGAGAGTTAAAAATATCGCGAAACGCAAAAACACATCATGGCGGCGATGTTTCAGCCATATAACACTGCGAAACACAAACAAGCGGCCAGCAATTGTTGACAGTGCTTTAAGTTTTTCGGGGAGGATTTTAATCTTTTTTAAATGTTTTAAAGTTTAAAATGCATGTGATACAATAAGCAAACGGGACGGAGCCATTTTGACAAACATCCAGAACGAAAAGCAGCTCAGCCGCTTCAGAAAGAGAACTTCGTCACATGGTTTACATGCAAATCGTGTTGAATGTCCTTATGCTCATTCGGGGCTGTGGGGTAGCCTAGTGGTTAAAGCGTTCGCACGTCATGCCGGAAACCTGGGTTCGATTCCCCACATTGGCACAATGAGTGAAGCTAGGGGCTGAAGGGATGGTGTAAATCCAGCTAGGGTCCACTGTAAGTCCCCATAGTATGGTGATCTACTTAGTTGTTGTCAACCTATAGCCTGTTTTTTTTATTGCATCGTCCTCTATAGTGAAATTGTTTTAGATTTAATTACTAGTTTTAAAGATATATCTGTGATAGTCTAGTTGTTTTACTGTCCTTCGAATGACAGGTTTTTATAATTTACATGTATTTATGGTGAATTCTAAACTTGTTTTAGTCACGATATGGCTGAAATATTGCCGATGTGACTGTAAATCTTAACTCGCTCACTCACTCAGAATGAGTGAAGCCGATTTCTGGTGTCCTCCGCCGTGATGTTGCTGGAGTATAGCTAACAGCGGCGTAAAACTAAACTCACTCGCTGCACATTCAGCTCTATACATCAAAGTGTTAGATGACCGAGACCTGTATTACACGCAACAAACTTCTGATTTTTCTCCCGGTTCATTGCTCCCCAGCGCACAGGGGTTTGATCATAAGATGACCGAGGATAACTCCGGGACTTCCTCCCACATTAAGCCGACAGGGCTTGATATAACAGGATAACTGTCCAAAGCAGCGTTAATCCAATCTTACAGCTGTATTGCGGTGTAATATTTATAAACAATATATACTTCTCATCAAAAGTTTAGACTCACTAGTGTAAATATAGCCACTTACTTCAGGCAACTGTTCTAAACTAAATTTTGCAAATAATGCCATACTGTTTAAAGGTACTGTTTACACATGAACTGATGTATTGTAAAACAAATTCGTAACGTTGAAAAGATTATTGTCATGAGTTCAGTAAATGATGAAAATGAGTGAAAATTGGCGCATTCTGAACAAAACTTTACACCACAACGCAGCTGTTCACATGCACGATATTTGGCATTATTTGCACATGTTGTTCAGCAATTTGATGCATGATCCTCGTGCAGTTCAGCTGCATAAAGTTTGCAGTTGGTTCCCCCATGTTAGTGGAGAAATCATTCTTCGATGTAACCACACACACTTGCTGCTCTTGTCATTTTTTCCTGAAAGTATGTAATTTCCATTAAAGGGTTTTTTGTTGCGACTGATTAGTCTAAGAAACAAACAATGTTTAATTTTGTGCAACCTAAAAACTTCCCCGAAACAACAGACACATGTTCAGACATATCTCCAAAAGTACAGTTATATAACAGTCGCTCTATAGCGAATGTACTTGGCTGTCCTTCGCATATCTTAACCTACTTCTCCTACGTTTTCCACGTATGTAGGTCAAAATATGAGGTCAAACTAGTTTAGCAGATTTTGATATGAACCAGTTTATAGACTCCTATTTATATTTTCTTAAATTGTAATATCAGATATTGACACGAGAGATGCACGTGTATGACCAATCCCGCGTGGACACGTGAAGGTCCGGGTTAGAATATTGATCTTCAGCAACCCATGCTTGTCGTAAGAGGCGACTAACGGGATCGGATGGTCAGGCTCGCTGACTTGGTTGACATATGTCATCGGTTCCCAATTGCACAGATCGATGCTCATGCTGTTGATCACTGGATTGTCTGACTCGATTATTTACAGACCGCTGCCATATAGCTGGAATATTGCTGAGTGCGGCGTGTGCCAAAATTATATAGTGAAAGGCAAAAGAACGTCGTTTCTTTTGCCTTTCAGTATATATCGTTACAGAGAGAATGGATTGACTACATTTGACTACTGAGGGGGAACCACCTTGGATGGGTGGTCGTGTTTGGCAGCTTGACTCCTGAGAGTTTCTAGGACTACAGTCCTGCCCTACAAAGAAGCACATATGATACATGTGGTCTCACCTTAGGCAAGTGAGTTTGTTCAAAATTGCCTCTCTCCACCCAGCAGTAAAATTGGGTACCTGGTATGATACGATGGTAGTCTGAATTTGAACCTTGAGCGCCTGACAGGTGACCGGTTGTATTCTCCACAGGGAGTGTTCTGTACTCGTTGACCAGGGTCAATATGTCAGCGCCCTGAGCAAGCAATGTGCATGGATAAATGCGCGATATAAATGGACTATTTTTATTATATGTTTTACAGATTAAGATGAAAATGCATCGGGTTATTATTGATGTGATGCTGAAGCTCAGACGTGTTGCCACTGAGACAGATATCGGAGCATGCTGTTCTGTCCGTCCATCCGTCCGTCCGTCCGTCTGTCTGTCTGTTGTCTGTCACCACACTCAACAAGCCCCCTCCCATCACATGGGTATTAACACATTTTGTCAACATAGAACGACCTCAAAACCATTCCTTATTATTCCATATATATATAACGAACTCCTTCTTTATTCGAAATACTTTATTATCGTGGCGACAATATAAGTATTCGATACATTCGTGAGAGTTTGACGGGCGGTGGGGTAGCCTAATGGTTAATTTCAACCAACAATCATTTGATGTTATTTCTGGGCGGTGGGGTAGTCTAGTGGTTAAAGCGTTGGCTCGTCACGCCGAAGACCCGGGTTCGAATCCCCACATGGGTACAATGTGTGAAGCCCATTTCTGGTGTCCCCGCCGTGATGTTGCTGGAATATTGCTAAAAGCGGCGTAAAACCAAACTCAGTCAGTCAGTCAGTCTTGAGAGTTTGACGACATTGACTATGCTCATGCGCATTCACGTCACTGTATAAGAGCAAAGGTGAAAACACAAGGTTAAACTCCATTTTATTCATTTGAAACCGGGGCCGGTAGCCTAGTGTAGCCTAGTGGTCAAAGCGTCCGCTCGTCACGCTGAAGACGCTGATTACGATTCCCCACATGGGTACAATGTGTGAAACCCATTTCTGGCGTCTCCCTCCGTGAAATTGCTGGAATATTGCTAAAAGCGGCGTAAAACAATACTCACTCACTCACTCATTCATTTAAAAACGGTTTACTTTTAAAATTCAAACCGTCAGGGTGAATAGTCACCAGTGGAAAACCTCTATCAGTAACGACAATGTGATAGTACACGACCTGTTTCCGTGAGGAGGAGAAACAGCTGATTACACGACAGCTTGACGTTCCCTTGACCCGTTCAGTCACATGTCTGTTATCTGCTTTGCCCACGCTGGCTGTCACTATCTCTCCAACCCGGCAAACCTCGGTGCAAAACAACCCCATACTATCTTAATCTGTATGTTTAATTTACAACGCAATTCAAGATGGTTGGGAAGACGATTGGTTATAATTCAGGAGAATTACAACGACTTGAGGGGTGTCACTGAGGTTTCAAATTGTCGGATGAACTGTGATAAAACGGGGGGCGTGTCTACCAGCAAACTGTACGTGCTTGAATA